ATCGCCCACAGGCCATTGTGGCAAAGCTGGGAGTTAGACTGCAGCAACTCCCAAGTTCCCTGCCTTCCTGGAGACCACGCTCCCTCTGTATAAAGCGCTGACTCTGGGCCCCCAGCCAGAAAGCAGCTCCTGTGCCTCTTCCGCTGGGACCTCGTTCCTCTTGGACTCTCCCCCCAGCCTGCCTGGGAGCGGTTCCAAAAGGACAGCGCTGCTGATGTCAGGACGAGATGGATGTTGGCTGGCCTTGCTCTGGGAGTTGTGGTTTTTGGAGGGTCCAGTGCTCGAAGCAGCTGGAACAGGATGTGCTGGAGAGCGTTTCTTCCTGGCAGGGCGGTGGGGGAGGTGTCTGGCCGAGGGCTTGCATTTTTCGGTGGGATGGCAAAAGAGGCCGAGCTGCTAGAAGGAGGCTTCTTGCTGCGTGAGCGGGGTTGGATTTGCCTGAGGTCATATGTGAGTCATTGCACTCAGGAGTCTCCTGATTATCATATCAGTAAAACTTGGTGTGTCTCTGTCTGATGTCTGATAACCATCTTGCTGGCGCTGGCAGGGAAGCCGTTGCCCAAGCCATCCCCAATTACTTGGAAGCTGAATGAACTGGCTGGAACAGGAGGCTGGGAGAGCGATTTGAATGGCATCTTTTTAAACCGCTTTTAAGGAAAGTGAGTTGTAGTCGTGGATGCTGCCTTGCTGAGCAGACACCAAGCTGAATGTGGCAGGCAAGGGGGATGCCACGTATGCAACCTGTGGTGCCCGGCACCAACCCTACTCTTCGCATTATGTCTACATCTCAAGGTCCCAACTGAAATCAGGGTCTCATTGTACCAAGTCGAGTCCCTGCCCCAAAGAGCTGACAGTCTTCATAAAAAAGAAAAAAGACAGAGTGGAAGATGGTAGTTGTGGAGGGGAGGTGGACCTGGCCCCACCACAAGTAAGTACTAGGTTCAGGGCTGTCGGGGGCTCTACCCACTGGCCCTTGCTGCTTCCCAAGACCTGTATCTGACTCGTAGGGAGCCGAAACTTGTGGTAGCGGGTGTAAATCAAGCTGCAGGTCTGGCGTGGGGTCTTGGCCGTGGATTCTCGGTATCTACCTTCTACGCCGCACTTAAGTGTCCTGAAAGAGGGCTCTGTGGACCTGAACGACAGGACTCCCCTCTGCAGGTGGCGATTTGTAAGGGGGGGAGGATGGCATATTGCAGCTTGCATTAGGGCAGGGAAGACTGCCCTCTGAGATGCCTACCTGCTACTGCATGGCACTTCTCTCCACCTGGTACTCCTCACAGACTTAATCTATAGCACGTTGCACGCTGCTGCTTGTAACAGCGGGACGCAAGCCTGTGGCAATCTAACCCTGGAATGGCTTGGCTGGTTTTCCAGGCTCCCGGGGAGCGAGTTCTTGTAAGGCACTTGATCTGTCCGGGAGCCTCTTCAAAACATTTTTGTGAGCTCTGTAAGGCCATTTTGCAACTGCTTGAGGCTGCGGGTCTCTTCTGGACCACGAGCACGTTCCTTCGCTCTGCTGTGGGCTCTGAGGGTCTTTGCTAGCCAAAGGGCTTTGGTGAAAATGAGTGAGCCTATGCAGCAATGAGAGGGGATGGGGCAACCCTGGGGTGTCAGGCAGTGGAAAGCATGGCTGTGGCTTTGCCTAGCCAAGGGAAAAGGAAACCTGTTACCACAAATGTTGTTTTTGCTTAGCACAAGTGTCCCTGTCCTAGAGGGTTTGGTGGTACTTTAACCGCAACCAACGTGCTCTTAAACGCGATGCTTCCTTTAAAGAGAGTCGCCCTACACCTGTCCTGCCCTTCGCTGAGTCGGCAGCCGAATGAGCAGAGTCCCCTGCTTGTGCCGTCCTGGACTGCGTCACTAAGAGCATCTCCAGGGCTCCCCTTGGGTCAGGCTTGGCTGTTCTCAGGACCAGGCTGAGGTTTCTCTGCTTTTGCTACTGCATCCCTGAGCGTGTCCCTTGTATAGTTCCAGGAAGGAGGAAAATGTCACGTTATCCCCCTCCCGAAAAATCCTGCTCTTGGTCCCTCTCTCTTGGCCCCTGTTCTGGTAAGTCAGATTCTGAGGAGGGGAAAGCCACGTGTCCTTGGGGGCCCTCTGCCTGTGGTTGTGGAGGGAAATTTTGAACATTTTCCCTGCAAGTTTGCATTGCTCTTCCTAGAAACCAAGATGCCCCTTTTAAAGGGTAAAGCATTTGCCCAGTCATCTCTGAGTCACTTTTGCAGGTCAGCCCTGAAGAAATTGGCCGGGTGAGGCTTTCCCTTCCATCAATCTTGCTCTGAATAAGGGTGGAGGGGGTGGAGAGCTCTCATACCGCTGGGTCCTATCTATGTTAGCGTCTTCACCACAGTGCCCTGGTAGAGCTGTGTCCGTGGGGGAGAGGTTTGAAAATTCCCAGGGCAGATATGCAGGAAGATCAAAAGCTTACCAGGAAAACCAAGAGAAGGTGCAGTTGCATTCTGACTGTATAAAGATGACTCTGGTTGCTTCCTGTGTGAAACAGCATCTGCTCACAGCAATGACAAATAGCGCTTCTGCTCCTCTTAGCACTGCGTGCTTCGTCAAGCTATGGGAGAGCAAGCCAGGTGTCATTTGGGCTGGACTCTGCAGTTGAGGCTGAAATAGCAGTTATTGGAGGTGCCCAGGTTCTGCCCTCTCTTTTGCTCGTGCAACCTTTCTGCAAAATCTGTGGTGTTGTACAGTGTGGCGAGACCTGTCTTTGCCCTGCAGGCCCCCCTTCGTCGATGGGAGGGGGGGATCTTTCTGTGCTTCACGCTGACCAAACCTGGCAAATCGCTGACCTGACCAGCCTTTGTCCTATGGCATGTTTCTGTGTCCTGTGCTTCTAACCAGAAAAGGGTAATAACTTTGCATTTTGGGAATGAGTCCTCCCACCCTTTCTGCATCTGGGTACGTGAGCAGAAGCGCACTGCTGTACAGAGAGCAAATTCCTGCACTGGATGAACAGATTTAAAAACAAACAACTGGCCTTGCCCCTGAGACCTGCACTAGAACAAGACTAAATGCACTGGCTGTTCCTGTGGACGAAGGTTACTTGGGAATAAAAGCAAAGAGATGACCCCTGGTTTGGATTATATTATGCTAACCTTTTTTTTGCACCCTCCCCCCCAAGGATGATCCATCGCCATTACAATGATGCCCAGCTGTTTGCTGGAGGTACCGTACTAAGCCATGGTGGCTTTTGCAGTATTACTAGTCCCAAACCTTCAAAAAGCACGAGTCCGGTTCAAACCCATGACTGTTGTTGTCTGTCTCCAGATGTTTGAGCAATTCCCACCAACATAGCCAGAATCTCCCTTTTTTCTTAATCCACAGGAAAAAGCGCTGGAAGGATCTCAAGAGGTCACTTAATCCAACCGCCTGCACAAGGCAGGGTCATGCTGGACGAAACCATCCCACACAACTGTTTGTCCGACCTGGACTTACATTTGCAATGACGGCTGTTCCACAACCGGGCTAGGGAATCTCTTCTGAAATGTAATTACCTTCACAGTTCGATAGTTATTCCTAATATGTAATGTGAATTATGATGTGGGGGGGAAAAAAATTGGCACTGGGGGCTTTAAACAAAATGCAGTCTATCTCGAATTGTGATAACATCAGGAGAGTTGATACCATAACTGGCTGCTTATGTGAGGCAGGACATCTAGGAAGGAGAAATGAAATGCAAAATGGGAAATGATTGGCTGGGCTGCAGTACAGCAGGGAGTCTGAGGGTTACAGTGGATTATAGTGAGTCATTAATATAATATTGTAACAAAAAGCTGACTGCGTAGTGGGATATGCAAGTCACAAGAAGCGAGACGTGAAGAAAGGTAATATCAGTAACGTACATGCAGGTAGACTTCCGAATTCCTCTCTTGGGATTTGTTTCCACTGGGGTAAATAAAAAATAAAATAATACTTCCTTACAAAAGATGTCTGAACATGAGCTAGAAAATCTCTGGTCACAGACTTGGAAGAGGAAGACCGTAATTCCCAAACTGTGGCTCTATTTGGTCAATATATTTGATGCCAAAAGGTTTAAAGTGACACAACTATGGAGGTCCTCCCAGAACAGGTGGAGACCAGACCTGGCCGGGAGGGGTGCACTCATATCAGAAAAGGGGAAGCAGTGCTGCTAATCCTGTAACTGTGAAGTGCAACCTGATGATTTTAGGCAATAACCAATGTCTGCCTTGTGTACCTTGGTATTTCTGAAATGCCTGCTCCACCCAAGGATCTGAGAAGTGCTTGGCAAGTGCTGACATTTGCCACACCCCTGTGTTGCTGCAAGCTTTTCTCTGCCTAAACCAAAGGCATGGTCAAGTGACTTGCCCCAGGGTTTGCCACATTTGGAAGTGGAGCACCGGAGACTTGGTCCCTGCTTTCATATTTGGGTTTTCTCGCGCTGTCTGACTAGGCAGCGTCTCCGAAGGCTGCTTACAGACCCATGGCTAATGCTACCTGTTAACCCTTTTCGTGTTCCAAAAAATTGGAAAGGACTTTGACACACACCTGGTTGTTATTTGCTTTTTTTACTTTTTTTTTTAAAGCCTGCTTTTTGTCACTAACCTTTGATGTAAAGGGTCACAAGTCCAGACCCCTTTGTCTGGGATTTGCCTGTCCCTTCCCTCCCCCGCACAATCACAAGCCAGTCCACTTCTGATCAGGAATGTTGTTCTACTTGTTACCTCCTGAACATTTGGTATAAGAACCACTTTGGGTTTGGATTCATACATTTCCCCCCACCTTTTCCTGCACCCCAAATGCCTGCAGGAGGTGAAATGACTGAGCCATATTCTTTGTCTGAGCTAACTGCAGTAAGAGCAGAAATGGTGGAAAGTTAATTTATACTTCTAAAATAAGCTCACATATCCCCTTAACACTGGCCCAAAATCATTTCTAAGTCTGGCCCTGGTAGGGGATAGAGATCTATGTAATCTCCAACTTTTTGTGGCACTTCACATCTGGGTTTGGGATCTGAATGCAGTGGTTTGTGCCTGCCTCCCCTTGATCAATGGTGTGTGACTGGTCAGCAGAGCTGCTATGGGGGCAGTGTGCTCGTTCATGGCCGCAGCTCAGAGGAATGCACTCCTACTCCAGACCTCCTGTCTCTTGGGGTTGGATATGAAAGAGCTTGTAAAAATACTTCGCTGGAGAGGAAGTGACAGGGGTGGTGGCAGTGGTGGCGGGATTCTGGCAGCTTTGTGTGAATTACTAATATTTATTCCAGTAATCCTGAAGGACCAGCTAAGAATAGGGCCCCATGGCTGGAGGCACTCTGCAGAGTCATAGACACTCCCTGGTGCTTATAATCAAACTAGACAAGGGAGTTGGAGGGTGGAAGAAAAAGGTACAATGCACAATCAGTGAACTGTGCAATGGGAGTGAACACCGCTTTCCATGAGTGACCAGAGGCATATTCCACCTGGCCTGTAGACAGCTGGTTTTCCAAGGAGTCCCTTGGTGACATTGGACTCTTCAAGCGTGGCATATAAACAGATCCAAAATATTTGATGTTTGTCCCCAACTATCATCGGCACGATGACTGAATGCACTCTTTCTACCCAGGGAATGGGGATTATGGTAGATTTTTCTGTAGATTTCAAGGTATTGCAAAACACTGGTGGGTAACGGAGTTGGTTGGTTGATGGATTGGCTGTTGTTCAATCAGCCAAGCCACCAGTCCTGCAAATACTTACATTGCATGAGAACCTGCTCTTTTAAGCCATTTCATTTTGCAGGCCCAAACATTCACCTAAAGTTTGGTCCATCATCCGTGGTTTTGGGTGCTCATCTGGGGCATTAATCTGCCTATGAATGCTCATGTGGCTTTGAGCAAACACTCCCTTGGCCATGCGGTGATGCCAGAAGGTTTCAGTCTTGCTGGAGCTGGAATTTTACTACTGAGGAAAATAGTAAAACGGAGGGTGTAGGAATGATGCTGGATGGGGAGAACACAAAGTAGATCTTGCTATGTCAAGGGTAGTCAGCTAACAGCTCCTGCTTTTGTTGCTGTGGTCCTTTTTGGGTTGTTCCTGACAGTGTGAGATGCAGGGAAGCCAGGGTGTATGTCAAATGTGGGGGGGGAAAGGGGTGGGAACATGGTTTAATTTAGAAAAGAGGTTAGCTCTGCCTGTATGTGAACATAAGATCCACCGTACGAATGGTGTCTAACCATTTCATTTGAGGCACGTTATGATCTGCAGTTTACAGTAAAATTTATGAAAGGAAGTCTTTGGAGTGCAGAAAGTAATCTTGGATTCTCAGCGGAAATGAGGTCTTCACATCAGCCGTCAGAGAGTATTAGATGCAGGTTGTCACCCACATTTTCCTAGTTTTGGCAGGTTGGGCTCTATTCTACTTTAACCCTTGCACTTAGGCTACTATAGTACTGAAATCCCCTTGGATTTGCAGGAAGGAGGTTGGGTGGGGAGGAGAGATGGGGCAGAAGGCAGGGAACAGTTCTGACCCCAGAGCTAGAGTGATGCAAACTACAACCCTGATCCACTTGTTCTAGCTGTGAGCAAGGGGTAACAATATAATAGTCATACTATTCTCCTGATGGTCCCTGCAAGCTTGGCTGTGCCCACATTTGGATAGCAAAAGTTTGCATCTAGGCCATTATCTCCACTCTGGCCTCCTGGGAGGTAGAGCCATGAGGTCTCTTTAGGTTTTCCTTTCTTATCTGCCCAGGGTAACTTTAAATAATTGCCCCAGCTGACAGGTCAGTGACCCATTTCTGGCCATGTCGAATGGTATTCAGGATCTCCTTGGCCTCAGGACATCCCAAGAGGGCTCCATGCAGAGATTCTTTGAATACCCGGGACAGTATGGGGCTGCCATTAGGGATAAGCTACAGTGTTAAAATAGTCCTTTCACAAGGTCAGTGGTGGGTTTTCTCTCTCCTCCCCAAACTGTTCCTGCCAATTTCTTTTTAGCCCAATCTCAGGGCCCAAATGACATGACCTGAAGTAACTGGTGACTCTAAATATATCCCATGGGCTTTGTCAGTTCCAATTTCAATTAACATTTGGCAATCTGTCACTTCCTGGCCCAGGCCAGCAGAATGACTCTCTCTCCTGAGGAGCGTTCTCGTCCTTAGCACAAAGCGCACTCCTTGTTGGGCACCCCGCTGTCTGTTGCTTCTCCCCACACCTGTGGATGTGCACCTCCATCAGCAATTTCACTCGGCACCTCTTACAAATGGGCTTCTTCAGGTGCACCTTGGTCTTCAGCACTGCCTACCTACTCAAGTCAGTAGTTACTTGACTATTCCCCAGATAACTGAGGCCAGCCTAGATGTATCCTTCAATAATTAAGGTGCCTATAATAGTGAGATTGGGGAGCTGTGTTTTATGAATATGTCAATCCATCAGATTGGGTGCTGCAGTTTTCTTGACTGTGGTTTTCTTAAAAAAAAAACAACAAAAAACCAAACACTTAATTCTCTCTCATGTGCACAATTACAAATAAGTTAAGTAGTGGATCTCCTAGTTGCAGTTTTCTTGATAAGAGACAATGGGTTCATGGAGACTTCAGGCAGCCTCCTAGGCTTCACAAACCATAGCAGTAGTACTTCTAGATAGGGCTGTCTTTTGGTGCCTGAAGGCCAGAAATGGATGTGTGGGGAGACTGGTGGAAAGCTGCTGACCCCTGAAATGGGCTTGGATTCCTTTTTGAGACCACTGGACCCCAGCGGACCAGTATAAATGGATCTGGCTGAATCTCTGCCGCGTCCTCTCTAGGCTACGCTGGTCAGTTGCTTGGAGGAGACCCCCAGGTGATAACACACCCAGGCGCTGTTCTTCCACCCCTCGCTCAGTTGTTCTTTCCCTGGATGGCTTTTCCGGAGGGTAGTTCTCACACACCAGTGCTTGTGGCCAAGCTGGGTCCTTCAGCTTAGGAGTCGCTTGTCTTTTTTGGTGTAAAGTTAGAACGTGTCCCTGCTTCTCTGAAGGCAGTGATTCTCAACGAGGGGGATGGGGCACCCTGGGATGCTGCAATGAGATAAGTGAGGTGTTGGGAGATAAGCAGCTAAACTAAGGAGATAAGTGCAGGCTCAGGCTGGTCTCTGCCTAAATGATCCTCCATTTTCGCTGCCAGGCTCCTCTGCAAAGAAGCAAGCACTGCAATGTATAAATTACAGTAGGTTGTGCATTGTTTTTTTTTTAAAACTGCGTGCCACTCAACTCACAAAAGTTTTGTCGTGTTGCCTTGAATCCGGAGTGGGGTATCTCAAGTGCAAACAGGTTGAGAACCACTGCGGTAAGGAAACTGTCATGTGTATTGGGCTTGGGCAGCTCATCTGAGGTTTGTAGTGGTGACAGGTTTGGACTCTCAAGCTTCTTACGGGGATCCTGGCAACAAAAACAACAGAAAAGTTGCCATGCTGCCTGATTTGCTGTCCATAAGAGACTTCCACTGCCCGTCTGGATGAATACAGCTGTAAGGATGGTATGAGATTGAAGACCCTCCGACAATAGCCGGGCTGTTTAACCCTTCACACATTGGGCTACAGTAGAACTTGGATATTTTGACTGTCATTGCCCTGTC